AGGCTTGTCATAGCTGCATTTTCTCCGATTTCTTGGGGATTCTGAGGCAATCGACTTAACGATCGCCGTGGTCCAGAAATCGGGTACAACCGCCGGTATCAACCTGACCACGACTGACGACTTGATATTCCAGGGCCACCCAGGCCGTTGGTACTCCTCAGAACAACTGGGCAGATCCTGGTTGGTGGGCTTTAGGTATCGGCACTAGCTTAGACCCGCTCCGTAAAGAAACCGGGAAGCCGTCGAGCACGCCCTCCCTTTCCAAACACTAGTTCTTTGTTCTCTCCTACGGCTTCGGCGTCACGAGCTCGATCATCTCCAACTGAACCGGTGGCGACAGGAACAAGAGCCACTTCTCTATCTTCCCTTGGGGATCGTGCCCTAATAAAACCCCTATTGAGGGAAGCACCCAGAATTGTGCGAATTTTGAGCCCCGTTATGGATTTCCCGCCGAAGGGTTTCCGAGTCGAGATATCGACACAAGAAAGTCGTCTTTACGGCTCTGCTCAGCTCCTTGAGTGCTTTGTAGGTCGGATGGGTTTGATTCTCCCGAGAGAACCGGCGCAGGATAGCCTCTGCATCGGCGTGGCCGAGTTTCAAGGCCACTGCGAAACGGATCATTTCGCCGTATTGCTCTTTGATCAGGTCCCAACGAATCGGCCTTTCGGGGTACCAAGCAGAATCAACGAATCGGCCTTTCGGGGTACCAAGCAGAATCATGTAGAAATGGGAGATAGCGATAACGAAGCTGACATTAGAGTGGCAAGGAGAGAACCGAGACTAGTTAGCTAGCTCTCCGAGTTTCGGTTCGAAAGCCGGAAGTAGAGCACAGGCAACACCAGCAGGGTCAGAAGCGTCGTCGTGACCACTCCTCCGATGACCACCGTAGCGAGGGGCCGTTGGACCTCGGCGCCAACGCCCGTCGAGATGGCCATTGGCAAGAATCCTACGGCGTCGGTGATCGCTGTCGCCAGAACTGGGCGGAGCCGCTGTCTTGCCGCTACCGTCACGGCCTCCAACAGCGGCGCTCCTTGGTCTCGTATTGCCTGGATTGCCGAGACCAGTACCTGCCCGTTCAGGACAGCGATGCCGGAAAGCGCAATGAAGCCAATCGCCGCACTAACGCTAAACGGCATCCCACGAAACCAGAGCGAGAACACTCCTCCAATCATCGCGAATGGGATCGCAGTGTAAATAAGCAGGACGTCACGCATTCTCTTGAGGCTGAAGTACAAGAGGAAGAAGACCAGCGTGAGCGTGATCGGAACGACGATCGCGAACCG